ATTTGAAAATTCCCCAATACCCTTATTTTAATTTATTCATTTATTTATTTTACAGTGAGGGTGCACGCTAGTAGGGGGCAGGGGCAGAGGCAGAGGGAGAGAATCTTATGCAGGCTCCACAATCAGTGCAGAGCCTACCCAGGTCTCTATCCCACAACCCTGGGATGTTGGCCTGAGCCCAAATCAAGAGGCAGATGCTCAACTGTCATCCCCCTAAGACCCTTATCAAAATTGAATTACAATGTGTAGCTGATTGGGATGAACCTCCTGGGATTATTTCCATGTAAATGAGACAAAACCTAATAAAGAAAAGGCCTTTGCCCCTTACCATTCATCCTTCTTGGTCCTACAGCAGCCATCCTGCTGTAAGGAGAGAGAGTGCTGAGTGCTAAGGGAGGTGGAGCAGGCAGAGGACTGCCCAGGACCCATCCCATCCCAACCTGCATCTGTGGGCTTCCTGTTACGTGAGAATGATAAACCACCTAGTTGTTTCAGCCACTGATTTCCAGGAGGTCTGTCCCTCACAAATGAACACTGTCCGACCTGACCAATAAGATTAGTATTTGTATTGAGAGTAGAATGGAGCAAGTGAGAGGGAATACTGAATTTAACATTTTGTAGCTGAGAAGATCTACAAAAGGCATCCTTCACAGATGGGTTAGAGCTGTTTGGCACGTGCTCCCTAAAACTCACAAGATGAACCGAACAAAATACAGCTTGAGAATTTATGAGGAATGTGCAGAATGCTGGGATAGAAAGTTACAGGAGTAAGGAATTTGGTGCCACAAATGAAATTACATGTTTACTGGAGCATGTGAACTATTAGTCTCTTAGCTTTTATGCAATACAGTAACTTTCTACTTTGTAGCAGGAAACAAAAATCCATGTCTTCAAGTAACTTAGATTCTCTAAACGGAAGCGTATAAGATAAAATATGATAGTGGTAAGTACCATGAATGTGTTCGTGTGTAATGATCGACTGACAGGGTTTCCTAATTTAAACAGTTTTCAGGCAATGCCCACATGATGAGGTCATCTTTGTGCAGAACCACTGAAAGCGTATCATGCAAATACAAATGGGGAAGGGCAAGTGGGCAAGTAAAGCAGCCCAAAATTGCCCAAATGGGAACATACTAAACTGGTTGAGGAATATCCACAATTGTTGTTTGTCTTGGTGAAATGTCTACATGTCACATTCTACATTACATTCTACACTACATTTCACATTCTACACTACATTCTACATATAGTGGAAATGTCTACATTTCCACTATAGACATTTGAAATTTGGGACTCGTAGTTAGAATTTTTATTTTTTATTTATATATTTTTGAAGTTTTTTTAATGTGTATTTATTTTTTAAGAGATGGAGAGACGGTGTGAGTGGGGAAGGAGCAGAGAGAGAGTGTTACAGAATCCAAAACGGGCTTCAGGCTGCGGTGTCAGCACAGAGCCTGATGCGGGGCTCAAACCCACCAGCCATGAGATTATGACCTGAGCTGAAGTGGGGCGCTCACCCAACCGAGCCACCCAGGCGCCCAGTAGTTAGAATTTTTGAAATTTTAATAACAAAACTCCCCAGAGGGCTTAAGATTATATGTGATAGATCCAAAACCATGACCTGTTTGGAGAATGCACAGACCTATTTCTTTACGTCAGACTTACCACTACCGAGAACACAGTGGTGGGGTAGGGTAATGAATTAATGGACAGATAGTAAATCTCATTTGTCAAAACTGTCTAGGGATTTGATCCCAGAACTTGTTAAGATACATACTTTTCCTATTGTCTACCCTTATACCCAGCCAGGGGTATGTTGCTTCTTCCACTTACAAAAGTGTATCAAGTAATTTTGGGTGTGTCTTTTACACCTCAGTTATATCTTCAGTGTCCATATCATCAAAAAAAATTGTAAGATCTAAGAAGATATTGTACTTGCAAATTGAAGAGGAACAAAATCGCATTATTTCATGTTTTCCTAATTTAAGACCTAGTAACTCCCAGTTCCTAGTTTTATTCTTACAGTTGAGAGCAATCTTGTGTTACCATTGCCTAATATTTTGACTATAAGATTGACCTTTCAGTACGTTTTATGCCCCAATTTTATACTAACTGAAATGTGATGAGAATGGGACTCTGTGCAAGGTCGGCAGATTTTTATGTAAGGAACATATAGTAGATATTTTATTCTTTGTAGGCCATGCTGTTTCTGTTATCGCTCTTCCAGTATGTCCTCATTGGGTCAAAAGTACCTAAATATGAGTGTGGCTGCATTCCAGTTACACTTCACATAAAAACAGACGGTAAGCTGTACTTGGCTCATGTTCTATAGGTGGCAGAGTCCTGATCTACACAAAGGAATTAAGAGCACTAGAAGTAGTAATTATATGAGTAAATAAAACCTGTCTTTCCTATTTTTAAGCCTCTTTAAAATATAGTGGACTGTGTAAGACACTAACAGCCTAGCATATATGTGTATAGCGTTTGGAAAAGAAACCTACACTAATGGTTACACAGGGCAGGAATTTAGAGATGGAAGTCCATGTGGAAAGGAAGGGTCAGATGCTCTATATGAAGAAAGTATAGACTCACGTGAAGGTAGACTGGTAAGCCGTACAGGATAACCCTTAAAGCAAACAAAAAACAATAGTTACAGCTAACACCTGTGAACCAAGGAAATGGATTTAAAATAAAATCATTTGTAAAAATTCAGTCATTTCAAAGAAGACAGGGAACAGAGGAAAGAAGACATTATAAAAGCAAGAGGAAAATAAGTTACATCTATATATGTATAAAAGGAAATCGTCTAAAGGCCCCATTGACAAGCAAACATTGTCACTGGATTGTTTTTTTTTTTGTTTATTTCTTTTGAGAGTGAGGGAGAGTGATAATCTCAAGCAGGTTCTGTGCTGTCAGTGTAGGTCCATCATGGGGCTCCATTTCAAGAGCCGTGAGATCGTGACCTGAATGAAATGCAGAGTCTTACACCAATAACCATGTTGAGCCAACCAGGTGCCCCTGACAATTGGACTTCTTAAAGACAGGCAACACAATGTATCCTAAGAGAAATTCACTTCATAAATTAAGAACACAAAATAAAATCCTAGACCAAAGATAAATGGAAACGCTATAATGAATATAGTGGCTATATTAAGATTAAAGTAATTTCAAGAACAAATAATATGACCAGGGATAATGAGAACTATTTCAATATCATAAAGAGGTACATTCACCAGAATAACATGAAAATCCTAATTAATCCCTTGTTTTCACTACAAACAAATATGTAATCAAATACTCCCTGTTTCCAAGTCAGACACTAGGACCATGATGGTGGACATCCCCTAGTTCACAAACACACACATACAAACATTACACATAGATGCAAATACATGTGCATATACACAACATAATCTTAAATGCACAGCCATACACCCTCACACTCTCAACATACACTCCATACCAACTCACACTCATGCACACACTCTTGAAATACAAGCACATATGTTTGCACACACCCGTACTCCCACATTCCCAGTTCCTTGTATGTAATTACATTCAAAGAGTCTGCATGCACATGTGTATCTCAACAATGTGCTCATATGTTGGAAGAATACAGGCATCTCCTGACCTTGGATGCCTGAAAATGGGGGGCACTTGCTACCTTTTTTACTTCCATCCTTTCAACAACCCCCAAGGATGATATTTCTCACATGCAATATCTTAAACTGCTGGGGGCATTGCCACCTCAGGTCCAGGTGAACGGGGCAGAGTTGGAAGGTTATAGACGAGTGATCCAGCAGGGTCCAAATGAGGCCGGAGGGAGGGGGTTATAGGCAGTGTGCAGAGAGCATGGGAGCGTGGAGGAATAGATGGAAAACTCTTCAAAGGCATATGATGCCATAGTACTTGATAAATAAAGATAGGGACAAAGAACCTAGGGGAAAGGTGAAAATGAATCCTGAAGTATGGGATCTGAGTCATCTACATCAGTATGAGCACAGAGTTAGCTGTGGATAAGTAAATAAAATGGCAAAGAGAAAACTATAGATCTGTGTGAGGACCGGTAATTCCCAGGTTGGTCTACTCAGAGAACCTAAGAGCAATGACACCCCAGTAGCAAGGAGAACACCCAGCACCCACATCTTGGTTTCTAACACTATTCTCTAAAAAAAAAAAAAAAAAAAAAAAAAAAATGCTCCTTGTAATTATGGCTGATTCTATGGCAGGAGCAGGGAAAATACAAGATGAGCCTGGGGGATCTTATAGTGACAATGTTAAGAGTAAGGAAATAATGTTTTTTAAAAAATGGGGACATATCGAGGGGACATAATGGCCAAACCGGAACAGAACTCCTGCAGCCTGTCACCAAGTCTCTGATACCAACTCAGTGTCTGGTGATGCAATGTAATTGTGACTTTATTTGGTCTTCGTACAGACCCCACAAGTTAAGGGCAAAGTTGTACCTGGGACTGCCCCCACTTCAGACACCAGTCATGAGTCAGGCATTCCCAAACCTGCCACGCATCTCCAGCCAGCTAAAAATTTAAGGTTGCCTCCAAGTCCCTCTGCTTCAATATTTGCTGGGATGACTCACAGAACTCGGAAAGTGCTATATGTATGATAGTCATCGATAATTAATTAATTTCTATATTGGGACCTAAAAAATTGTAGGCCACATTAGTGGCCTGGCCCACATCACAAATCTAAACCTAAATCAGCCTGCTCTTATGTGAAACATCCAGCAAAGAAACCAAACATACACCAATCACAGTCCTCCAATGCAGCTTCAGGTAGCCGATCTTACCCTGTATTCAGCACCTCCTGGTCTTCCAAGGAAATCCCTGACCTCCTAGCCAATCATGCCCTGTTTCTGCACTGCCTCTTCTAAAAGTCAGTCTTGCCCCAAATCCATCAGGAAGAGCACTCCACTCCCTGCATGGGAGGCTCTGTCCTCCCCAAATCAAGGGTTGTCTTCCCTGGAATAAAAGACAGCAAACTCGTTACTAAATTGTTTTAGTTTTGTCATTTCACATTTTATTGTAAAGGATAGCAGTAAAGAGCCAGATGAAGGCATCCATAGGGCAAGGTTTGGGAGGACTGCCCATACAGTAGCTTTTGTCCCCCACCACGAAGCTCCCAGGAGCTTCTCCAGGAGTTTAATCAGGGCTTCACTTAAGTCATTGGCCATATGACTGAACTCAATCTCCAGGCAGACTCGTTCCTCTCCCCAGAGGCTGGGGTGCTGAGTGTTTCCATCCAATCATGTAGTTGGTCTTTCAAATGTGTCCAGTCCCCCATTTTGAAGTTCTGTGGGGGAACTCAACAAACCACGAGTTAATGACCCAACATGAAGTCAGAAGTCCAAGCAACTGAGCCACCCAGGTGCCCCTAAAGTATTTCTTTTTTAAAATGTTCTATTTTTAAGCAGTCTTGATACCCAATATGGGACTCAAAATCACTATCCAGAGATTAAGAGACACATGCTCTACTGACTGAGCCAGCCAGGCCCCGCAAAAGTCGTTCTATGTTTCAGTTATATCTTTTGTTTTCCTTTCAATGGTGTCCATGTTGCCTTGGGGGTGATTTCAAAAGCAGTACTATCCCATGTTAAAATACATTCCTATACTCCTGTCATGGAACTTGGTCTGGATCACCCGGTGAAGAATCAAGCGGCACTTGAAGAAATTGGAAGGCAGGAGGTTTATTTCACACTGGCGGGCTCAGAGGAGATCACTCTCCAGAGATCTGAGCCCCGAGCACAAGGATGGGGAACAATTTATAGTCTGTTACTTCTGCATTAGTAGTAATTTGGTGCGCGGCAAACAGGGTAGGAAAAAGAACCCAGAAGGGGAGTCTTCGGGCAGCGACTGAATTTCTCCTACCAGTCCTGTCGGCCATCTTCTAACATAATTTTTCCCTATCACTCCCGCTTCAAATTGCTAGTTCTCTCTGGCACCAAGCTTGATGAAAGGGTCCTCCATAACCTCTTGTATCCTCAAGTTGGAAAAGCAGAAATCCGTCTTGAAATCTCTTTATCGCCAACACATCCAACTGCCATCAAGATTTAACACAGTACAATCTACCTTCTAAACGTCTCAAAAGTCCATTTAGTCTTTTCCCACATACCAATCTGTTCACTGGCTCCTTCCCACCTGCTCCTTTTGTAAAATTCAGCTGACACTTCCCCCTTGTTCCTCTTTGTCCCCTGCAGTTTACTCTTCAGATGTTGACCAGAAAATATTTTCATGCACTCCTCTTGCTCCTTAAGCGTTACCGCATTTTCAAACATCCCCAATTTCTCTTAGATATGAGGCATAATATTCATAGCATAGCCTCCAAAGCCAGCAATAAAACCTGCCCCCCTCCTCCCGCCACCTTCACCCACGCAAAGGCCATTTGCATGAGAAATCAGGCTTTACAATTGCATTCTCAAGTACATCTTGGGAAAGTTTAATATCTCAATTTTAAAGTTACACATTGAAAGATAATTCCAGTATGTTCACAGTATTTCAGGACTGTTTTATGGAATCTATCCTTCTGTGACCAATAATAATACAACTATAGAAGTACATCGATATTAATTACAGATGATTTCATGTACCATGCTCTTTACCATTTCATATTAGGTTAGTGTCAGTGTGTCTCATTTACCCCTGTCTATGCAATGAAATTGGCTCATTGTTCTTAACATTCTTTGAGGTCTCAGTGCATCTATGACTGAACAGGTAGGTGGAAGACAATTCATATTTCCCTGATGGGATAAGGGAATTCTAGATTTCTTCCACAGCAGACATGGTACAGCCTGAATATGCTTGGGTCATGATTCATGAGAACAAAACGGCTAATAGTTGAAAAATATGTAGTGATTAGTCCAGTGACATTCACCAGCTACCAACTAGAATTATCAAGGAGATCCAAGTAAACTTGAATGATGGACAAAACGGCATAAAATGATAACAATGGTGGTCACCAAAATAAGGGTGCTTTCGGTGGCTCTGGTTTCATGGTCTCACAGATGGGTCTGGGGGAGAGAGTGTTCTATGGATGCATTGGACTGTCTGCTTGTACCTGTGAGGGAGAAAAACCATGGAGCTGGTGGCCAAGGTCATGAATCCCAAACACAAAATATCAAAGAAAGATGTCATTGCTGCATATAATGAGCCTGTGATCTTGTCACTACACTGTGAAGCAGAACAATGTCCCAAACCACTTTTTTTGGTAGTAGTTTTGTTGTTGCATTTAACAGCCATATAAATAGGAAAAAACACGTTTATGAACATGCAGAACACCCCACACAGGATACTGGAGGGGCCGATGTATTTCGGAGTTTTTACTTTAAGCTCTATCCACCTAGAGTTCCCAGGGTTGATTGGGATAGCTTGGAAGACCCTCAAGGGGCAGGTGGAACAAATGGACATACCTCTGGTCACTCTGTGAGCATACAAAAGAACATAGCATCCATAATAATTAGTGAAATGTTTCAGTCCTAAAGCTATCATGGTCTCTGGGATTCCTCTGGAAAGAATGACCAAGGAGTTGGCTACACAGACAGGTTCCTAAGAATCAAATTCATGGATCTCGGCTTGCATCCCTTGAAGCAAAAGGACGTCTAATAGAAGAGTCAGAAATTGCCCAGAATTCCAATGACTCCCAGGATAGGTAGATCATTGCTATATTCACATCCACCGAGGCCATTCTGTCATTGTCTAGAATTCAATATTCAAAATCACAGGCAGCGAGTTCTGCATGAAAACATGAGTATCGGCCTACATTTTCCTGGAAAACAAAATCTTCACTTACATTTCATTTCCCCTGAGAATGAACATCTAAACTATATTGTCTTTTGTTAAGAGATTTCCCAAGGTACATGTGTGTCTCTTTATAGCACTTACAATGTGTGAGTCTGTTATTAATGCTTTCCCTATTGTAACTTATATAATATTCACAACTCTATGAGTTAGGAATTAACATTACCCTCATTCTATAGATGAGGAGAATTTAACTGCAGGAAGTTAAGTGACTCATGTAAATAGCAGTAGAATCAGGATTTGAACCTTGGTGGCCTAGTTGCCATGACACAAATGCTTTCTACTGCTCTATACTCTGCCAGGAACCTCGTCATGGGTACGTGCGCGCGCGCGCGCACACACACACACACACACACACACACACACACACACACCTCATATTTTAAATTTATTTTACTTTCTAAACCTGGTTTGGTCATTTCCCAGTTTTAAGTATTCTTTATAACTAATATAACTAAGGAATGAAGATTGAAAGCTTTAATAAATTTTGCATGCACTGAATAATTTTATATGAGCCAGTCTGATTTATTTAATGTAGACAACTGTTAGGATGACAGCAAAAGTCATTTCATTTTTTGCCCGGACCAAAAGGACAATGGCATCCATAACAGAAATTATTGTGTGGAACTGCACTGTGTGCTAACGTATGGGACATGAAACATCACATAGTGATAAAGCTTATTAGGGCAGAAAATAAATTAATCATACTTAAAGATCACATCACTGTATATTTGTTATTTTAGAATACACAAATTGAAACTCGAATTGATACTTGATTTAGAAAAGCTATTCAAATACAATACAAACCTGCAAAATGGATTTGTAGACTTGGAGTCTTGGGCATTTAATGAGTTGAAAAGCAAGAGAGGTGAGTAGTGGGCTGGGAATACTGTTGAAATAATTTTAAACCAGAAGAAATGTAGCTTAAAATTGTCTTTTTTTCTTGATGTGATTATATTTTTTAATTTATTATTTTAAAATTAAAATATAAAGTCCTTCATTTTCCCCCCTTGAATCGCTCTATAGTTAATAACCTTATCTTAAAGGACCTTTCCTAATTTCAGGAAAGAAGATTGTCTCACAGATCAATATTGCACAGAGGTTTTCAGTAGAGACACATTTACTGTCTCCATTAAGCACATCACACTCAAATTACAGAAGAGTAAATTTCAGCAATTCCCATTAGGCACGCTGTTTCTGCTGTGAATCAGGTTTTTCAGTTAGTTCCATCATACACCTTATCACATGCACATGCCTTTACAGTGCTCACAATATTGCTTCTAAAAATGTCTCTCTGACTCTTCCTCACGGTACTGAATAGCTGCTTAATTCTGAAAGTATAATTTTTTTTTTCTAAATAGACTGTCCATGCCCAGTGCGGAGTTAGAACTCACATCCCTGAGATCAAGACCTGAGTTGAGGTCGAGAGTGGATGCTTAAACGACTGAGCCACCCCGGTGCTCCCTGAAATTACCATCTGGATGTATCTTAAATTCAGACTCTGATGGCACTTGGATCAAACACCAAGAACCCCGTTAATGGGGATTTTATTAAATTTCGTTAGCAGCACTCATGCACTGATTGAGCAGTCTCTCTCACAAGCTCAGCCTGTGCCGGAAGATTCTCTTCCCAGACATGCTCACCTACCCAGATTCCTGCTGCATCTCCCAACCTGAGAAACTGTGGTCTCACACTAAACTAGAAGATACTCACAGACTCCTTCCTGTTGCCAGGACTGGAAGCTGGGTGTAAAGTAGCAGGCAAAGCATGTGTGGGAGGGAGGAAGCCAAACCCTGAGATAGATGTTAGTGATTCTGTGACCTCACCTCTCCAAAGAATTGCCATCAACATGTCAGCTGTAGTGACAATGTTGGTTCAACACTTGGGGAACTGAGAACGGTTCTGAAAAACTCTTTAATTACCAGGATCTATTAGAAGTTTGCAGTGAGCAGGTCCAAAGAGATTCTTCCATTATTCCTGGAAGCAGACAGGGTGTCACATGGCAGGAGGAAATGCCAAGGGATGAGCCCTGAAAGACCAGACGAGAAGCACATGAGCCTCATTGGATTCTGTGCTTCCCTGAGGATTTCTCTGACCCCAGTCTAATCCTTTGTTACTCCCCAGACCCGAGCACCACCACTATTTAACTTATGGGCAGAGAGAAAGAATCCTCCAAATGACCCAAGAAGGATTTTCTGTTTTTAAAATTTTCAATAAATGCAAATAAAGAGCTTGGTGAACAAATGAGATTAAAAATCATTTGTCCACCTCTGCAATTCAAAAAAAACTAGAAAGCCTATATAAAGTGGACATTTTCTCAGAAAATACATTTTACCAAAATTGACTTAAGTAAGCTGGGAGTCCAAACAGACCAATATTCATAGAGAAGAGGAAGTCGTCTTTTTTTCATTTATCAGTCCCTGACAAAAAAAAAAAAAAAAAAAAAAAAGCACCAGGATCAGATAAGCCACCAGATTCTTCCATTTCTTTAAATAGAAGACGTGCTAATGCTGCTTACTGAATTCAAGAGCATTAGAGTGGAAGTAAAATTTCCAAATTATCTTTATACTTCAAATGACACTCTGAGACTAAAACATCCTAAAGTTTGTACTAAAAAGAATACTATAGAAAGATGTCATCTCTCCCTACAGATGGTAACATGGACAATAAACAGCCAAAACCCCTGAAGAGGAATAAAGAATTATAATGAGCCAAGAAATCTGTGTCTCCCATTCATGAATGAGTCACTGTTAGGAAATTAATATACTTCATATTTTTGAAGAGAAATCAGAAATCTTACTCATAGTTACAAAAACATTATTTGGAAGAATACAACATCTAAGGATGTTAAGTCAAAGCACTTGAAATTAGGAATTTCTTTCGGATCTTTCCCAACTTGGCAAAACAAAATCTTCTTGTTCATAGGGAAGTGCTAGAGCTACTCCACTAAGGCCAGAAAACCATACTAAAAAAAGTACATGATCACCTGTTGTATTCATTTCTCATTGTGTTGGAGGTTAGCCAGGGCAATGTAAAATGGCATAGAAATTAGAAACAAAGACATAGAAGTATGTTTTTCAGATGATAAAAGTTTATGTCTGGATACACAAAGGAACTAGAAAATCTACGACAAGAAATAATTCCATAAGCTAACAAGACAGGATACTGACATTCAAAAACAATAACGTCTTTTTGCATAGGGTATTTTGTTTTTAATTTTTAAATGTTTATTTATTTTTGAGAGAGAGACAGAGTGTGAGGGGGGGAGCAGCAGAGAGAGAGGGAGACAGAGAATCCAAAGCAGACTGACTATAGGCCTCGAGCTGTCAGCACAGAGCCTGACATAGGCCTCGAACTCACCAACCGTGAGAGCACGACCTGAGCCAAAGTTGGATGCCCACCCGACTGAGCCACCCAGGTGCCCCAATAGGGTAGTATTTTTAAGATTTCATTTTTAGAAATCTCTACACCTAACACGGGGCTCGGGTCATGACCTTGAGGTCAAGAGTGGCAGGCTCCACCAACTGAGTCACCCAGGTGTCCCTGTACATAGCATATGTTTGTACAGTAGCCTATGTACAACAAATAATCGTTTATGACTTACAGTAGGAGGGTCATGCAGTTACAAAATTGTAACATAAAATGAAATAGGGGCACATGTGGTGCTCAGTCGGTTAAGCGTCCAACTCTTGATTTCAGCTCAGGTTGTGATCCCAGGGTCAAGGGATTTAGCCTTGTGCCTTGTTCTGTGCTGAGCCTGGAGCCTGATGGGATTCTCTCTCTCCCTCCCTCTGCCCTTCTCCCTCACTCTCTAAAACAAACAAATAACTTTAAAATCATAAAATGAAATAATCTAACCAGGAATGAATCTAACAAAAATTTGTAAAGCCTATAGGGAAAAAAAAAACATTCCTGAAATATATGAAGGTAGAAACGAATGTAAATTACATCACGTTCCTGGGTAGAAAAACTCAATGTTATAAAAACGTCAATTCTCCTTTAGCTAATTTATTAATTTAATTTGATCCTGATAAGAGATACCATCAGTTTTTCAAACTAGCAATGTTGCTGCAAAAATCTCAGAGAATAGTAAGAATAGCCACAAAAAGCTCTAAAAAAAAAAAAAAAAAAAAAGGAAAACCCAAAATGACTACAGTTATCCTTCTGAGATGTTTATTTTTGAACAGACTATTAGATCAGTGAAGATAAAGAGTCAAAAGTATGCCAAAGTGCTTAAGAAAAGTTAATAACCAGCAAAAACTAAAGTGGGGATAACATCATAAACACTTGGTATTTGGGGACTGGGAATTCCTTTCAAAATGACAATAAATGGTCTTATTCTTCACATCCTACAGTGAGACAAAGGTCAAACAAAGAGAAGTCTATATGGTAAATAATAATTAAAATGGTTAAATTCCTTCCTAAGACCTTCTCAAGCACCTGACTGTAGCCAACCACTGGCTCATCATCTTTAAAGAAGTCATTCAGCGATAGCTTTGTGTGTGAAACGTCCTCATTGAGTTTTTATGCTAACTTGTTTTTTTAATGCTTTTATTCATTTTTGGAGAGAGACAGATGCGAATGGGGGAAGGGCAGAGAAAGAGGAAGAGACACAAATTCCAAAGCAGGGTTCAGGCTCTGAGCTGTCAGCACAGTGCCTGATGTGGGGCTGGAACTCACGAACTGCGAGATCGTGACAGGAAGAGAAGTCAGATGCTCAACCCATGGAGCCACCCTGGTGCCCCATATGCAAACTTGTTTTGTATGTTCACAGTGGCCAGTGATGTATCCATTGGCATCACCTGCTTCTTGAGTGTCTTCAGGACATCAAGATTGGCCCCAGGAACTCCAAGATGAGAGAACTTAAAATAAAAGCTCTGCATGCATCTCTAACAACCAGCTGCTTAATTCTAAGTGTGATGGTAAATACCACTTTGTCTCTTCCTGGGACTGACTAGGAACAGTGAAAACATCACAAAGAACTTTGACTGGAGGGGCACCTGGGTGGCTCAGTCAGTTAAGCCTCCGACTTCAGCCCAGGTCATGATATCACAGTTTGTGAGTTCGAGCCCCGCGTCAGGCTCTGTGCTGACAGCTTCAGATTCTGTCACTCCCTCTCTCTCTCTTCTCTGCCCCTCCCCAGCTCGTGCTCACACCTTGTGTCTGTCAAAAATAAATAAACTTAAAAAATAAAGTTTTTTAAGAAGTTTGGGGATTCTGAATAACAGTATCTCACAATCACCACTTGCCCTACTTTTAACCTTCCCTCCTGTTGATATTGGAATTCATGATCTGAACCAGGAACTGCATAATTTTCAAGCTCTTAAGATATAAGCAGTGGGTCCAGCACATTCAGAGGAACAACATATCCAGATTTTTTCTGGAGGTGAGGTCTACCCAAGGCATCCTTGTCTTGGTAAACGCCTTTGTATCGTTTTAGGCTCTCTCTTCCACCTTTTCATGTCATTTGGCTCTTTCTAAAAACCTCAGTTGGTGGGTGCTGAATCCCTGTGCTCTAATCACTCCTTTTTTTTTTTTTTTTTTTTTTAATAATCAGCCCTTTTGTTCTCTGGAGCCCTGACCTTATTGTGTCCAGGGTTGTCTCTGCATGCTACAGAAGGAATACTCAACCCTCTAAAATGACAAGATACCTATAAATTATTGTAAACTGTTGAACAATGTGTAGTCATGTGTTCATTCACTCCTTGCAGAGATTTAAGCACTAGAGGGGGCAGTCAGATAATAGGATGTGAAAAGCAAATCCAGCCATCAACTCCAGAATTTCCACAGGAAACAGAAGAGGAGCTACTAACTTGCATATTTCCTGTTAAAAATTATTAAGAGTGGATATGATGCTACTGAAAACGTGAAAAACTAGATTTACAATTTGCTTGTATTATTCACATAAAGAACAGACATCCTTATCACGTGTCTCTGGAAATATTTCAAAACCAGTATTTCATCAGTACTAGGAAAAGTTAAATATCTCTGAAAGAGTACACCTTTAGGAAGCTTCATCATCTGCACTGGGCACCAAGCATTCAGAAACAGAAAACGAAAAGATCAGCTGAAATATCTAATATTCAGGGTGCCTGGGTGACTCAGCTGGCTAAGCCTCAGACTCTTGGTTGTGGCTCAGGATCTCAGGTTTTGTGATACCCAGCCCAGAGTTGGGGGGGGGGGGGGGGCGGGGACAGAGGGCTCTGCTCAGAGCCTCCTTGGGATTGTAGATCTAGCTCTCTGCTTCTCCCCGCTTGCACTCCCTCCTGTGCTTTCTCTCAAGATAAATACATTTTTAAGAATCTAATTTTCAAGGAAAAAATAGCCTTCCAAATAACTGAGAAGAAAGATTATTAAAAATGCAATTGCAATGATTTAGCAATAAGGGCTTAAGCAAATACATGTGCCATCTGGTAGGTCTCAAAGGCGTTTGGATTTATACTTCCTCTCGAGAGGTGTGGATTGGAATATCAAATTTAAAAACAGATTAAATTAATGAACTCCCATAGAGGCAGAAATGTTTGTTCCTTTAAAGGAACATGCCAGCCTTCACCCCCCCCACCGTCCAGGGCCCAGAGGGGAAGGTCAGGTAACACAGTCAGCTAATTAGAAGTGACAATTCAGGGAAAAGCTTTGATGGGAGCTAATAGCAAACTGCACATTCCCCAGAGAAGAGTTTTTGCATTTAGCGTCCATCACCGACACTGACCACCCCGGCTTTTGCTTCATTAAAGGAGCTGTCACGTCCGGGTCTCCATCGTCCCATGAGGACCCCCGACCCCAGGTTCCCGCACTGCTCCGGCTGCCGCTGGCCGCGCGTCTCCACTGCTCGCTACAGACGTTTCCCCGGGCACCGGGCTCAGCTTGTCAAAGACCGCCGCTCCCAACACAAGCGGCCTACCGTTCCCTGAGGTTGTACCCAGCCTGGCTCCAAAGGACACCAGCGGGTCTGGAAGGGATCCAAAAGCAGAACCAGAAAACGCCAGACAGGAAGGACAAACAGACTGGCCGAAGTTACCAGGAGATTGGCAAACGGGGTAGAACCCTGCGCGCCCAGGCCCCGCCCCCAACCAACACGTCCTTTACCTGCCTTGGCACCGCCTCGCCACGAATGCGCCTGCGCGATTTTCTGCAGCCCCGGAAGCTGATCCAGTAGAGCAACGTGCGCTCTCGGGTGAGTGAGTCTCCATTTTTCTGGTTCACGCCAAGCGGTCGCGCTCTTTAGTGCCCGCCTCCACCCCAGGTTTCGGGGTCGGCTGGCAAGGTAAAGTTCTGGAACCGTCTCCTGCCTCTCCCCTCTTGCGGCGTGGCTGTAAGACGTTCCGAGTCCTCTTGCTCGGGGCGGGTTCCGGGGGTCTGCCGTCGTTTCCGGCGTAAATCGCTCCGAGGCTGATTCGGGCCCAGCCTTTCTGCCCGTGGTTCTGCAGACCCCGATATCCCTGCCGGTTACGTTCCTGCTCAGAACCTTTCTGTGATTCCCGAGTCTCCCCCCGACCCCATCCCCCAACTGTGTCGGGCCCAGTCGTCACTAGTGGGGGGGATGCAGGCCGTTCGTCCCGCCACAGGGAGGGCAAAGAGGGGACACACACGGCGGGGAAAGACGCAGAAATCTGCGGAGTTAGAGGGTCATCAGAAGGTGTGGGGAGAAAGAACGGCGGGGATTGAAACAGAGGCTGCAGCAGAGTGGGGTCACACGGTTGGAGGAGGCATAGCGAGGGAAGGAAACCGGAATGGACCAAAGGACAGAAGAAAAACAAGGACACAGAGAGACATATACAGAGAACAAAACACTTAGTGGTCTGGGCCAAAGCACAGGACCCAAACTCTGGTGAGTACTGAATTGATTGGGTATGGGATGTTACGTTGTGACGTACTGATTTGTGGCCCTATGACCTCATTAATCTAAAATGTGGTGAATTGTTCCAGTTATGCAGGAGAGATTGCGAGTTGTGACACCTGGCGTTTGAGGCCTCTGCACTTTCTAAGTATTGCATCAGAAGATCGTGCCATTTGCAACCCCTACTCATCTAGAGGGCAGAGGCCTAGCTCAGTCAGTCAGTGGGGGAAGACTTTCTGTAATCACATGGTGCTTTTTACAGTGGCCATCATTAACAGTACTGTTTCTCTCCCCCTTTTTTTTATGGCTCATGGCATTCTTTTCTAAATTTGATGTATCCTCTTTATCTTTAATATCATAATCCATTGGATAGCTTTTTAATTTCCAGATTATTTTACCTCTTAATTTTATCGTTCAGATTATGAGTTTTACATGCTTTCTACTCTATCATATATTGGAAGTATTCTTGGATGTCTGGTAAATAACTTTATAGTATTTCATTACACATCCATTAAGGATGTTGATAATCTTTTAACACTACCTTAAACCTACTTTAGTGTGCTAATTTAATATTCAACAGTTCTCTTCTTCCCTTAAGTCAGTTTTTAAATTACCGAGCAGTGAGCTGATATCTCCAAATAAGTAGATGATACCCCTCAAGGCCCCTTTATCTCTTCTGTAAAGAAGTTGATGGGTGGGCTGGATTGATGTGGAACTTTGTTCTAACACTGCCCATCCTTTCGTGATTGCTCAGAGCTCATCCCCACAGGTGACCATTTTTCATGTTTTCCAGGACTAGTAACTATTTGTAATGTCACACAGTTTTTCTGGGAAAGAGGAATTAAATGCTTGACTTTGATTAAACACATAAAAGAGAAGCTTCTCTTGTTGATGAGTATGAAAGGTAATCTGGAATTAGGACAAGCCCTTTCTACTTCAACCTGTCCAGGCCACCATTTCAGAATTTACTTACATCCAGTTCTGCTCACTCAACTCAGACTTCTTTCTTTTTTCACAAACAAGTTGGATTTATTTTAGGAATAAAAGAATGGTTTAACATTTCAAAGGCAATAATGTAATCCATTACATTAACAGAAAAGAAGACTATATGATCATCAGAATAGAGGCAGAAAAACATCTTTGATAAAATTCAACACTTACTCATGTGTGAAAAAATCTTGGAAAACTAGGAACTGAAGGAAAGTTTCTTAATTAGATAAAGGGTTTTAAAACATTCCCAACACAAGGCATGTTAATAGTGAAATATTGGAAGCTTTCCCTCTGAGATGACAAATGAGACCTGGTTGTCTGTGTTACCATTTCTAATCACGCTTGAACTGGGTGTTTTTGTTTTTTTTTTGTTTTTTTTTAAATCTTTTTTTTTCAACGTTTATTTATTTTTGGGACAGAGAGAGACAGAGCATGAACGGGGGAGGAGCAGAGAGAGAGGGAGACACAGAATCGGAAACAGGCTCCAGGCTCTGAGCCATCAGCCCAGAGCCTGACGCGGGGCTCGAACTCACGGACCGCGAGATCGTGACCTGGCTGAAGTCGGACGCCCAACCGACTGCGCCACCCAGGCGCCCCTTGAACTGGGTGTTTTAGAAGATAAACTAAGAAAGAAAAACAGATCAGGGTGCCTGGGTGGCTCTGTCGGTTAAGTGTCAGACTCTTCAGTTTTGGCTCAGGTCATGATCCCACAGTTTTCTGAGTTGGAGCCCCACATCAGGCTCTGTGCCAACAGTGCCGGACCTGCTTGGGATTCTCTCTCTCTCCCTCTCTCTCTGCCCCTCCCTGGCTCGTGCCATCTCCATCTCTCTCAAAATAAATAAATAAACTTAAAAACAATTAAGAAAGAGAACCGGATCTTACAAAGATTGAAAAGGAAGGAATAAGTGTTTCATTACTTACAGATGACACGGCTGTGTGTGTGGAAATTCTAAAAGTATTTGCAGAAAAAACTTCTGAGAATTAATAAATAAGTTTAGCAAGTTTGCCAGATAGAAGGTCACCAATAGGATATATTTAGGAAAGGAGGTATTATGAGCAATTGCTTTACACAATTAGGGAGGTTGTGAAGTTCCTCAATTTGCCATCTGCAGGCTGGAGATCCAGGAGAGCCAGTGGTGTAACTCAGTCAGTCTGAAGGCCTGCGAATGAGGATCCAGGCCAGCAGGAGAAGATTGATACCCCAGCTCAAGCAGTTAGGTAAGAAGGGCTCAATTCTTCCTTTGCCTTTTTTTTTTTTAATTTCATTTTTTTAAATTTACATCCAAATTAGTTAGCATATAGTGGCAACAATGATTTCAGAACTACATTCCTTAGTGCCTCTTACCCTTTTAGCCCATCCCCCCTCCCACAATGCCTCCAGTAACCTCAGTTTGTTCTCCATATTTATGAGTCTCTTATGTTTTGTCCCCCTCCCTGTTTTTATATTATTTTTGTTTCCCTTCCCTTATGTTCATCTGTTTTGTCTCTTAAAGTCCTCATATGAGTGAAGTCATATGATTTTTGTCTTTTTCTGACTAATTTCTCTTAGCATAATACCCTCCACTTCCATCCACATAGTTGCAAATGGCAAGATTTCATTCTTTTTGATTGCCGAGTAATACTCCATTGTATATATTTATGTATACCACATCTTCTTTATCCATTCATCCATCAATGGACATTTGGGCTCTTTCCATACTTAGCTATTGTTGATAGTGCTGCTGTAAACATGGGGGTGCATGTGTCCCTTTGAAACAGCACACCTGTATCCCGTGCATAAATGCCTAGTAATGCAATTGCTGGGTCATAGGGTAGTTCTATTTTTAATTTTTTGAAGAACCTCCATACTGTTTTCCAGAATGGCTGCACCAGCTTGCATTGCCACCAACAATGCAAAAGAGATCCTCTTTCTCCGCATCCTCGCCAACATCTGTTGTTGCCTGAGTTGTTCATGTTAGCCATTCTGACAGGTGTAAGGTGGTATCGACCTGTATTTCCCTGATGATGAGTGATGTTGAGCATTTTTTCATGTGTCGGTTGGCCATCTGGATGTCTTCCTTGGAGAAGTGTCTATTCATGTCTTTTGCCCATTTCTTCACTGGATTATTTGTTTTTTGAGTGTGGAGTTTAATAAGTTCTTTATAGACTTTGGATACTAACCCTTTATCTGATATGTCGTTTGCAAATATCTTCTCCCATTCTGTCAGTTGCCTTTTAGTTTTGCTGATTGTTACCTTCGCTGTGCAGAAGCTTTTATTTTTGACGAGGTCCCAACAGTTCATTTATGTTTTTGTTTCTCTTGCCTCTGGAGACGTGTTGAGTAAGAAGTTGCTGTGGCCAAGATCAAAGAGGTTTTTGCCTGCTTTCTTCCCAAGGATTTTGATGGCTTCCTGTCTTACATTGAGGTTTTTCGTCCATTTTGAGTTTCTTTTTGTGTATGGTGTAAGAAAGTGGTGCAGGTTCATTCTTCTGCATGTCGCTGTCCAGTTTTCCCAGCACCACTTGCTGAAGAGACTGTCTTTATTCCATTGGATATTCTTTCCTGCTTTTGTCAAAGATTAGTTCGCCATACATTTGTGGGTCCATTTCTGGGTTCTCTGTTCTGTTCCATCGATCTGAGTGTCTGTTCTTGTGCCAGTACCATACTGTCTTGATGATTACAGCTTTGTAGTATAGCTTGAAGTCTGGGATTGTGATGCCTCCTGCTTTGGTTTTCTTTTTCAAGATTGCTTTGGCTGTTCGGGGTCTTTTCTGGTTCCGTACAAATTTTAGGATTATTTGTTCTAGCTCTGCGAAGAATGCTGGTGTTATTTTGGTAGGGATTGTATTGAATATGTAGATTCCTTTGGTTAGTATCAACATTTTAACAATATTTGTTTTTCCTATCCAGGAGCATGGAATCTTTTTCCATTTTTTTTTTGTGTCTTCTTCAATTCTTTCATCAGCTTTCTGTAGTTTTCAGTGTATACGTTTTTCACCTCTTTGGTTGGATTTATTCCTAGGTATTTTATGGGTTTTGGTGCAATTGTAAATGGGATCGATTCCTTGATTTCTTTCTGTTGCTTCATTGTTGGTGAATAGGAATGCAACCGATTTCTGTGCATTGATTTTATATCCTGCAACTTTGCTGAATTCATGAATCAGTTCTAGCAGTTTTTCGGTGGAATCTTTAGGGTTTTCCGT